GCCCGCTGGGGGGTGTCTGGCGCCCGCCGGGGGGGGGGGTACTGGTTGGATGCAAGTCCACCTTCCACTCACTGAACAGCGGGTCCTGTGTGTCTTTGTGTGAGGGGGCAAATGCCAGATGCAGCTGGTTCCTTCCCCAAGCATTTTCTTTTGCTTTCCTTAGAGCTCACTGGGGCCGTCGGTGGGCCCCCCTCCAAGAAGGAAGAGGTCGGTGAAGTTTGTGGAGTTCAAGAGCAACACAGCCAGCTTGTATGTGGGAGGTGAGTGGTGCCTGGCCTCCCCCCTCTGGACTCTGCCTTGTGCTGCAGCGACAGCCTTTCAATCTCAAGAGCAGCGAGAGGGGGAGAAGTAGGGGTGCGGAGTGAAGCATCGGGGCCGTCGGTGGGCCCCCCTCCAAGAAGGAAGAGGTCGGTGAAGTTTGTGGAGTTCAAGAGCAACACAGCCAGCTTGTATGTGGGAGGTGAGTGGTGCCTGGCCTCCCCCCTCTGGACTCTGCCTTGTGCTGCAGCGACAGCCTTTCAATCTCAAGAGCAGCGAGAGGGGGAGAAGTAGGGGTGCGGAGTGAAGCATCCGTGCCGGGGAAGAGGAAGCCCTTTGGCCGAGCGGCTCTCCGCTCCCAGGCGCTTTCTCTGTCCCGGGGTTATAGGTCTCCTGGAGGCCGAACCAGCCAGCCGTGGTTTCTCACAGGCGGGAGCCCAGCTGGGCTAGACCCAAAGCCCATTGGCCGTCTTGTCCGCCTGGGGGGCCCGTCTGTGGCCGACCCGGGGGGGTTACTGGTTGCATGCAAGTCCACCTTCCACTCACTGAACGGCGGGGCCTGTGTGTCTTTGTGTGAGGCAGCAAATGGCAGATGCGCCCAGTTCTTTCCCCAAGCATTTTCTTTTGCTTTCCTTAGGTCGCGATGGTTTTGTCCCCCGCCTGTCAAGAACGGAGTCCAAGCACACCCAGTATTGCCAGCACCTTGCCAGCCGGAAGGAGGCCGCCCCACTTCCTCAGAAGGAGCCTCCGGCCGTCAGCAGGGACCTCTGGACCCAGGAAGCAGCCAAGGAGCTCGAGGAGGAAACCCTCCCACAGTTCCTATCCCCTCCCGGACACCCTCCGCCTCCTCCCCCCTCCCCCCTGATCTCCGAGAGCAACGGCCACCCTTCTCCCTAAATCCAGCTTGAAGCAGCGGTGGGGTGTGTGTGTGGTTTACGTAGGCTGTACCCTTCTCCATGGACGCCTGTTTCTCGTTCTCAGAAGAGTATTTCGGTGCCCTTGAGTGTAGCATAATTAAAAATCTTGCTCCTTCAGTTGGCTGCGTGTGTGGCCTTTGCCCCTCACCCCCCCCCGAAGGAGAGTTCCGCCTCTAGGAATAGCTCGTTTTGAGAGCATCAAGGCAGGGAGAAGCCAGCGGAGACACACGGAGGAATAAACCAAGCTCGTTAGGCAAAGAGAATTGACATGCAAGGCATGCTCTGTTCGGGGTGGACAGCTCAGAGGGGAGCCTGTGCTGTTTGTCATGCGATTAAGATTTTAAACCAAGCTCATTAGGCAAAGAGAATTGACATGCAAGGCACGCTCTGTTCAGGGTGGACAGCTCAAAGGGGACCCTGTGCTGTTTGTCATGCGATTAAGATTTCGTTGTGCCATGACCCTTCTGTTAAGGCCGGCTGTAAAAACCTTCAGCGGTGTGGCTTTAGGTGTTAAGAACAACCTTAGAAGGGCAGAGCTAGAAGGGGCCCTACAGATCATCAAGCAGGGTGGGGGGGTATCGGACTCCCAACCTCTGGCTTTGCAGCTGGACCCCCGAACCCTCGAGCTATCCAGCAGTCTTGTGTTCCCTTCCCACCCACCCCTTTCCCCATAATACTCCTCTTGCACAATCTCTGAACAATCTTGAAAGCAGGTTCACAAAAGCGGCCCTATTCATAGATGCATCTTCTCCTCTGTGCTTATGTCCAGTTGTTTTGAGGGCCTGGGTGGCCGGAAGGAAAGCAAAGATTTAGATTCCCCAGAAGTCCCCCTCTGGGCCTGCCATACAGAGGGCCGGGGAACATGGTTTTATAAGCCCGGTTCCATTTAGTTCAGTCCAGCCGGAGTGCTATTTTTGGGCGTTTCGGTTTCCACTGTGTGGGATTCTCTGCAGATCAGGCCTCTGCGCTGCTTACTGCCACCGCAACTTGTGAAGAAGGGGAATTGCACCAGATTCTTGGGGGGGGGGAAGAGAAGGGGCTCCACAAGGCAGCCTCCCTGGCTTCCGTCCAGAGAATGCCCTGGTCTTGGCAACCAGGGCAAGAGGCCAAATCCTCCCCTCTTGCCGGGGGGCCTTGGCAACTGTGCCGAAGAAGGAGAAACACTTCGGAGACAACTCCGTCTTGTCCCTCGGTGGTTTTGCGCTTGGCCTTTCCTTTTGTTCCTTCTCTGCCCACCCCGCCTTTGCTCAGCGCCCAAGCTCAAGGGCTGTCCGCTCCTGACTCCTTCCTTGGTGCAGCCACTGAGGAGGATTTTGACCGATAAAGCGCCATGGGGGACGCAGCCGACGGACCCCTGCCATCGCTCCCGGGGCTTGGTGTGCCCGAAGAAAAGGTCCCCAGGGGTGGACCCTTTTGACCGTCCCGTGGAGGCGAAGAGGGTGGCCCCGCGTGGAGGTCCTTGCCGAAGGCCCCTTCTCCTCTTGGACTGGTGAAGAAGAGGAGGCAGTCCGGGTAAGAGACACCTTGCCTTATTCTTTCCTGCAGAATTGGGGGAAATCGGTAAATTTCTGCACTTGCCCTGCCTTCAGGGGTCAAAGTCCCTGTCGCTTGCTGGAGGCCCTTCTGGCAGCACAAGACCTAAGGGAAAAAAAATAGCCATTTCCTGGGGCTCCTCCTCTCCGAGATGCTTAATCCCTCCCGGCCATGTCTTTGTCTCCCTCCCGCCCAGCTTTCCTCCAGGCCGGGTCAGACGTTCCCGGTGGGAAAGGCTGCCTGGAAGCTCCCTCCGTTTGCTCCCAGCAGAGCAGGGCAGCCTTTCCTCCGAACGGTCAGGGGCTAGTTTGAAGGTATGTGTCGGGCAGCTCTTTCTGAGCGCTGACTTGTGTGTGTGGGATTTGTGTGTGTGTGTTACTCTTTGTGTGTTGGGGTGGGGACCCCGTGCTGGGAGAATGGAAACCGGCAGACAGGCAGGGTCTTCGGCTTGGCTCTTCCCTAGTTTGCTGCTGAGGCGATCCAGCTGTGCCGATCCAAGGGGGTGATCTTTGCAAAGAGGGGATGGGGAGGCAGGAGGGCTGTGGGAGGGAGCAGGGCATCTTATTTTGTGGTGGTTTCTGTTGCCACCAGGAGGAACAGCCAGCGGGGTGACTGTGTTGAATCCCTTTTTTAAGGAGCAGACGGAACACAGCAGCCTTTTCCCCCTTGTGCTTTCCCAGCTCCCCACCCCATGCCCCTCCGAGCCCCACCTCATCTGTGGGGTGGGTTAAACAAGGACATGATTGTCTAACCCCCCCTGTTTTTAAAGGGTTGGGCCTTCTTTCCCACAGAGGTCTGCAGGAGGTGAACCCCCAGAAAGGCAACAGTCGTGGCTCGCTGTCGGGGCTCCGTGGCCACAGGTAGCCAGGGGGGTGTCGCAGGTGGCGAAGGCGGATGAGATCCGAGGTGCCAAACCTTGAGTGCCCTTCGCTCAGCCGCAGGGGCACGGAAGCCGCAGACTCTGTTGGCTGCCGGCGGAGCGGGGGCCAAAGGTGGATCGGCCTCCCACTAGGAATTTTCCCGCTTGGGGAAAGAACCCTCGGCTTGGCAGAAACAGAAACTTGGGTGAAGAGAGAGCACCTCTGCCGGAGCCCAGGTCCCGCCTGCTTCCCTCCCTCCCTCCCTCCCTCCCGGGCTGAAGAGAGCACACCTCTGCCGGAGCCCAGGTCCTGCCTGCTTCCCTCCCTCCCTCCCTTGAGAGCCAGAATTAGGGTTCAGCTCCATGAAGGCTGCAGCCGGGACTTTGGGTCGCCTCCCCCTCCCCTGGTTTTCCCCCATAGATCATTTAGTCGGCAGGAAGGACAACGCCAGCCCTGGGGTGCTACGTCCGTGACAGGCGTGGGCTTGTGGGGCCAAGGCGGAGGAGCCGTCCTCTGAAAGCCAGAGGTGCTGATTTGTTAGAGAGAACCCGCCGAGCAGGTGGTCTTGGATGGAGGAGGGGACACCCTTTCTCATCGTGCACGTTGGGTCCTGTCCCGGCAGGCTGGCTTTTCTCATGGACCGTAGGATTCACCTGTGAACTTTGTCCCTCTCCAAACAAATCCCTGATTCAGATATCATGTCTGTCACGGGCTGCTGCTTCCCCCGCCCCCCCCCTCTCTGGCTTTTATGTATTGCAACAGGAACAGTGGCTTTCACCATGAAAATAAAAATTTTGGGGGGTAAAAATAAATGCCAGTGTCTCTGGGGAGGCTTGAAGGAAGAGACGGTAGTCTTTTTTGGGAAGAGGTTCCTGCCCACTGGCTTCCCCCTCCCATCTTAAACATGGCAGTCTTAACGCTGGCCTACCTCGCAGGGCGGTTGTAAGGAAGAATGGGAGGACCGCTGTCAAACGCTCAGGGCGGCTGGGCCACCCACTGCCGCCTGGAAATGAGGTCTCCAGAGAGGATGGGATTGCCTTTCTTCCATGCCCCCGTCCCCAAGCCCTCGTCTCCTCGGCCTGTCTTTCTCCTTCCAGGGATGGACCCCAGTATCTGGGCCGACGGGCCGGTGCTGGAGGAAGGACGCCTCGGTGGCCCTCGGGCATCGTCCCCCAGAAGGCAATCAGAGCTGCTACTCAGGAGACGGAGGAAGATTAGCCGTGCGTGTGTGAAAGGCAAGGGTAGGTGCTGACGGGTGAAAGTGAGGGGGCCCTTGGGCAGAGGAGTAGGAACGCACTGTGAAGGAGGTGGCAGTGTGTGGGTGGGTGGGTGAAATGGAGCCCCCTGAGCCTCCCCTCCCATGTGGTGGACAGGTTTGTCAACCTCCCTGTCAGAGCAGGGAGCCTGGCCCTCTCTTCTGGTTGTGCCAGGACTCGGCGGCGGGTGCTGCGAGGACGTTGGCCGAACAGGTGCCTTGGTCGTCCAGTCTGTACATCGGGAGGCACCCGAGGTCCTCCCGTGTGGGGCGGAAAGTCCCCGTCGCCCAGAGGGATCCCTGCAGCCGCTCGGTGCTCCTTGGCCTGCGAGGCGCGGAGGGTGTGTGTTTGGGAGTGCCGACAGGGGTGGCTCTGGTTTCAAACCCGCCAATGGCAGTCTGGGCTGTTCAAAGAGCGGCGGTTGGAAAGCCAGCCTCCCC